CCATCCACAGCTCTTCCTGGACCGTCTTTCTGTGGTTTACGTGTGGGGTTAACGCTGGCCTCAGAGGGCGCTGGAAGGGCTCCTCCTCTTCACTCTTTGGAGAAGAGTTTGTGTAGAGGTGGTTCTAGTTGCTTCCTCATCTCTGGGCAGAGGTCAGCAGCCAAGCCATCTGGGCTCTCTCCGAGGCAAAGCCCCGTTTGGGTCCGTTTTAGTCACACTCGATTCCTTTACCACAGGGGGCCCTCCTAGTCATTGGCTCATGAGCAAGTTTTGGTAAAATGTATCTTCAGGAATCTGTCCACCTCCTCCATGGCTGAACCTGCCTGAGCCTGTCCGAGCGTCCCTCACGATCCTCCAGCAGCTGTGGCGTTGTGGGAACTCCTGTTCCCGTCAGTGGTGACGAGTCTCTTTTGCCTGTTGGCCTGCCCGAGGCTTTCCTTGATGGCTTCGCTGGTCTTTCTCTAGTGTTACTGCGCGGTTTTATCAGGGTTTGTATTGGGCTTAATTTGCTCCTGTTTTCTTGCCCGATTCCCAAGGTAGGGGCATTGGCTGGAGGAGCTCTTTCTTGTTTTCTCCTGCAGTGGTCAGTGCTGAAGGCTTGCTCACACACTGCTGTAGCAGTATCCCACGAATCACGGCCACTCCTTGAGCTTCTGCCCCTTCGTCCGCTCTCTGGGATCTCTCCGGCCACTGCGCCTTGCAAATGCACCAGGATCCAGTACTGCCCAGCCAGGGAAAGGAAGCACACCAGGCATTTCCAGCAGAGGGGAGCCGTGTGGAAAGCAGAAGAGCAGAACTCGGCACTGAGGCATCCTGTTGAGAGCCACAGCCAAAGGGGCCCCAGCAAACTTCCAGCTGCCAGCAAACTTCCAGCTGCCGGCTGATGATCCAGCTGCCAGCAAACTTCCAGCTGCCGGCTGATGATTGGCTCACAGTGGCCCCAGCAACATCTAGCTGATTGGCTCCTCTGCGGTGATGTTCATTGGGCTGTTTCCCTGCCCTTCAG